CACTCTGCTCTCCTGAGTTGCTGCTGAAGCCCAATGCCTTTGGCATCCCGAGCTCCCCCCCTTCAGTTGCATAGCTGTCTGGCTGTGCCTCTTGCCAGCCACAGCTGCTTGTGGGCCCTTGAGGATCTTTCCCATGGGACCTGGGCCACTTCCTGCTGCCCTGGAAGGCACCGCTTCCTAACAACAGACCCAGAGGGCTAGCCAGGCATGTACACTGGCTGGAGGCCAGGATCAAGTTCTGTGCCCTTAGTCTTCAAGGCCTAGAGGGTTCCAAGATGTCTGGGATCCAGGCTGTTTAGAACACACAGTTCCAGGAAAGATCCCAGCTCTGGTGGGAAGTGCACTGGAATGGCAGAGAGGATCTCTCTGTCTTTAAGATGGCTGGGCAATGGTGGCACACACCTTTAATCCCAGCACAGGTGAATCTCTATAAATTCAAGGTCAGCCTGGTCTAGGGAGTGAAGAATTCCAGAGTTACTCAGAGAAAGAAACCCTGTCTCAAAAAACGAAGGTGTGTGTGTGGGGGGGGGAGTAGGGGGTGGAGACTGCAATGTCATGGCTCCTCCTTGTCCCATAGTAACTGTCACCTGGGGCAGAAGAAGCTTGAATCACAAAAAGGAGCATGACAGAAGATGACAATGTCTAGTGACCCTAAGGTCACTGGGGCCTGGGGCCACACAGCAGGGGCCTTGAGATGAGGCAATAGATGGGGTCAGGGAGTTTGGGGTTCAGGTATAGAGTTGCCATCAACAGGGCCAAGAGCTCCTCTTTGGACCCCTACTTTTGTCTGAGCAGCATTGGCATAGGGCTGGTAGATAAGAGCTGGCAGACACTGGAAATGGAATGTCACATTTCCCAGCACCTATAAAACAGAGGTACATCCAAGGCAGGGCTGCTCCACTGTCCCTGCCTGTGAGTCCTGGTACAGGAATCTGCCCACAGATTTCCCACCCTCGGCCTCTGCTGAGGCCACTGTTAACTGTCAGCCTCGGTACCGCCCAGGCTCACCTCTCCTTGCTCTTCTTGCCTCACACCAGCTCTCCAGTCCTGGCAGCAGCTACACCTGCAGGTTTGAGAGCGAATCTATGCAGGGACGTAGGCAAGACTCAGATGGGGGTGGGGCTGAGAATTTGTGGACAGTGCCAGGTGGAAGATGTCACTAGATCTGGAGCTGAATCCCAGACCTCAAGGACACAGTATTCATGCTTGGATTGGATCAGGCAGTGAAGTGACACAGGTTGATTGCCCAGGGAGGGTGACACCAAATTATGGAGGTAAGTGGCAGAAGGTTCCAGAACAGCAAGGTCACAGAGAGCCTTCCTGGACTTACTCTGCCTGACAGTCATTATTTGATTGACTCCAGAGAAGCCAGGGGAGGGCCAGGTGTTGTCTGCTTCCCAAGGACGCTGCCTGCATTCAAAGCATTTGCTGCAGCCATAACATTGCCTCCCCTAGTACTTCCAGGAGTGTCCCTGGCCCTCGAAGCCCCAACTGAAGACCTGCACCTTCACCCAGAATGGTCCTCAAAGACCAGCTGTTCCACCTCTCATTTTACACAGGGGAAACTGAGTCCCACATCAGCAGTGGCATCTCCTACCTGCCTTGCGGTGTGCTTGGCCCCAGCAAAGCAGAGACTAGCTGCATCGGCCCAGAGGAAAAGGGGTGGGGAAGGGAGCAGGGGGAACCAGGACCAGAGTCAATGCCATCAATGTGCAGCTGTTGACCCTGTGCCTCTCCACCAGTGTTGCTTGCACTTGGTCACTTGGGTAGGTAAAGCTATGTCTGTGTTCCTGCTGTCTGGAAGGGCTGGCTCCCAGGTCCCTGGAAGCCCTTCCTCATAGGGATTGATAGCCAGTAGCTACCAAGAAGTGACCAGCAGAGAACTACCACTGACTGCTGTCTTCTGGCTCATGCTCACCCTCTTCTCAGGGGCTGTGCCTGGGAGGAGCTGCCCTGGGGAATCCCCTTCTGTGGGGGGAATGAACTTCAGGTCCCAGCGCTGCTACTTTCATGCAAAGCATCTTGTGGGGCGCATTGCATCTCTCCCCATGCCTGCAACTGAGCGCTCTTTGCAGGCGAGGGAGGGGTATTCTCTACAACTCACCTTATCCCCCCCCCCCGCACCCATGCCTGCGTAGTCTCAGTTCTGGACCTAGAAATGGTTGTGTTCAGACCACCAAGGCATCTAGCGCACCCCTTTGGCATCAGCAGGCTGGTCCAAACAAAGGCTCCTCCCCAAGAGCCGCTTCAGAAGATCTTGAGCTTGAGAGGCCTGGCACAAAGGGATAGGAGGTGGTGTCCTGGAGGGAGAAACAACCGGGATCAACGGGAATTCCCACGGGACGGTGATAACTCCTGGGGCGGAGTGCAGCAGCCGGTACCTGGGAGGCATCAGCTCAGCAGATGCTTCCAGATGCGCGATGGTCCTCAAGTGACATGCGGAACCGCTGTGAGGGAGGAGTCAGAAACCGCAATCGCCCCTTTCTTCTCTTTGTCCCGAAACACTTAGTCTTTTTTTCTTACAAGATTGTGTGAGTGTGTACACGCGCGCGAGCGCGTGTGTTGGGGGGCGGGGGCAACAACAAAAAATCGGGTAGTCGTGGTTCAGGCGCCTGGCCGCGCGCGCCCCCTGCCGATCGCACCCTTAAGGCGTCAGTGTCTAGTCCAAGAGGAGACCTGAAAGGGTGTCTTGACTCTGTCTCATGTACATTTTTGCTGGGACCACTCATTTCATCATTGGATTTGAACGGCCTCCTTACTCCGAAAGCTAGGAAGGAGACCCTTAACAGCTAGAAACCCTAATCGTGGTGCCCCAGGTCTATGTGCCCTAACTTGGGGGACTCAGGCTTATGTAGGACACTGGGAAGGAGGAGGGCCTCTGCATTTCAAGTGGGCAAGCATGGATGACACCACGCTGCTACTGTATCCAGCCAGCTTTCCCCTTCTTCCCCCTCTTCCAACAGTGCTCAGGTGGGCAGAGGCCTGCACCTAGAGCCCCAGGGCCCTAGGTAGTGCACCCCTGCCAGGAACCTGCCCTCAGTCACATGGGCACCTTTCAACAGGGAGTGGAGTGGGTGCGTTCCCACTCTCAGGAGCTACAGCCCAGTGATGCAGGACAACACTCTGGTAGGTGGGGTATTCACAAGACACCTTGAGACCTGACTTTGGGCCTTCTGGGTCCCAGGAGCCTTTGTTGTTCAGTGTTTTGGAAAACCCTACCAAACCAACAGTGTGGCAGTGAGAAGCGCGGGCAGGAGAGAAGTCACACAGGATACCTAGAAGATGCTTGGGGGTTAAGACAACTTCCATTCTTTTCTCCAGGCCTGGTCCACTAACCCAGTCTCTTCCTAAGGGCCCAGGTCAATATACTGGAGGGTTCACAGCATACTGGCCCCTGACTTTACACCCTTCAAGTCTCTCCAAAGACTGTCTTAGTGTTCTGTGGCTGTGAAGAGCCATCATGGCCACACAACTCTTGTATGAGAAAGCATTTAATTGGGGCTTGCTTATAGTTTCAGAGGTTTGTCTATTGCCCTGAGCCTCCAGTGCAAAGAGTAAGAACTGGCTCTTGCTCCACACCTCACCCCAGAATCAGGGATTTTCTTTAGTCCAAGGTGGCCTGAGCTCATGAGCTCATGCCAGCAGCACCGCTGGCTTTCCTCGCCATCCTGCAGCCCTGGTTGGGCCACCCAATGTATTTTTCTGGTGCCTGAGCAGAACAAGGAGGAAGAGAGAGGCAAGACTGCTCCTACATCTTCCCAGTATCATCCCCTTTCTCCAGCTGATGCCCAGCCCCATCACCCATGGCTCCACCCAGGACCCCAGCTGGAAGCAGAAGCAAGAGATCCAACTCTGTGGCAACGTCCTTTCCTCTGTGGTGCTACCTGCCCATTCCTAATGTTCCCTAGGACAGGTGTAGTGATCTCCATCAACTACCCCAAGAAAGAAGTCCCACTGGAATGCCCGAATCCTAACACCCATCCCTCACCACTACATGACCCTTCAGGCCTCTCCCTGCTTTCCCGTTCCTCCCTCCCAAGGAATATTTGCTGAGGGACACTTACAGGGTAGGATGGAGCTTTTGACGACAGGCTCCAGATGGAGGTCTCCAAACTTGGTACTGGCCCAGATCAAGAATGCAGGCGGCTGGCACATATGGTTGGGATTCAGGACCCAGGGCTCATGTAGTTTAAATGATGGCAGCTTTGTTGTTTGCTGGTAAGTCTCTTTAGGTTGGCGATGGCAGGCCAGGTGAGTCAGGAGAGGGGAGGGGCTGCTTGGCTCTGGTGATCCTTTAGTATGGGTAATAACTGTGAACTTGCGCAGAACACCTGCTAGAAGGAACAATGTGTGAGGGCATGCCTGGACACCCTATATATAGACCTCCTGAGACAGGCCAGGATCCCATAGGTGTCACCTACACAGTGGGCCAGCCTCCCTTTCCCAACTAGATTGTGAGCTTCTTGAGGGTGGAGCTGGACTTTAATTAGCCTCGGAGGCCACTCCAAAGAACTGTAGGCACAGAGTTATCTTGAGTAGGAAGAAACCAACTCTTGGCAAAAGTGCAAGAAAAGGCCTGGGCACCTGGCAGGCCACGCCCCTAGAAATCCGCTAGAGACCTCATGAGTGGAATCATTTTGCTACTTTCTGGTAAAGGCGCCAGAACCCGGGCTGCAAGCCATCACGTGGACTGTAGTCAGGTCACGTGGCCTGAAGGCCAGCTCGTGAGGCAGAGAGTCAAACACGTGGAGGGGCGGGGGAAGCCCTGCCCAGGGTGGGCCAGGAAAAGGGGGGGGGGGGGGCAGCCCCTGCTGGAGGTGGGCAGAGAGAGGGAGGGGGGGTGGCGAGCCGCTTGTGTGAGAGTGGGCTTCCAGGTGCTGGTGAGATGCCGCGCTCCCGCGGGTAGGCAGCGTGTGGGTTGGGAGGGCAGGGTGGTGGGCAGCGCTTGGGGCTATCTGTGGTTTCCAGTTTGTTGCTTCCTTCCCTCCAACTTCGTGCCAATGGCGTTCAGTGGTCACGAGCAGACCACTGAGGATTATGGAGTCTGCAGCTTCACCGGATGCAGGTGCAGTGTGGATTGACAGGCTCTGAGAGAGTCGGGTCCCGAGACCTTTCTTTGCCCAGGAGCTGCCCACAATCTTCACCCTGCCTGGCACACAGCGGGGCATAGCACCCCATCTTGGCGTGGAGGGGTCGGGGAAGCGTCATGCGCTGGCAAGGTGGTATTCCTGGATGACCCAGGCCTGTCTGCCACTTCTTCCAGACGTTCACCCCAAATGGCGTAGTTCTCCATGTGGGGTGCATGGGATTCACAGGTGGTCTTGGCTCCGTTTTCTGTAGCAGAACTCCTCAGCCTGAGACTCCGGACAGCTTACGCCCCCGCACAGGTCCTGTTGCTCCTGCAGATTCCTGCCTTCGGAGAAATGTGGTCAGCGAGAGAGAACGCAGGTGAGGGCAGCCTCAGGATAGACAGTGCTTCAAAGAAAGGGTGGAGGAGTTTAGGTCTGTGGTTTAACCAGGTTCTATCCTTTTGGAGCAGTCGGGATTAACCCCAGATCCCCAAGCAAACTCAGTCTTGCGGAAGGAGGTAGGGGCGCCACTGCAGCTACTTTGATCTGAAACCCTGGTGGTCCACGGATGAGTGTATTTATCCTCTAGAGTCTAGACTCCTGACTTGGATTAACCCTTACACATACCAGAGCAGAACTGCCTCAGGGCTGTGCCCTCAGCCGAGAGTTACTGTGTGTAACAGTCCCAAAGCCGCGGGTTGCTGGAGGGCTTACCTTGGGGGCTACTCAGTGATGGGTTCCAGAGCTCCTTTCCCCTTCTGGTGAAGACTAGACCCTTTTCACTTGTCTGGAAGCAGGAGGCGGATCTCCTTGAGCTGTGAGCGCCTGCGGGCTCTGCTGCCTCAGTTTGATGGCCGGCGAGAGGACATGGCATCCGTCCTGGAGATGGCAGTGTGCTTCCTCCAGCTTGCCCATAGTATGGCTCCTGGTTGGGAGCAGCTCTCTGTGAGTTGTAAGCAGGTGGGCCTTGTTAGGCTTCTGCAGTATGTGTACTGTATGATGTCCTTGTTTGGGGGTAGCATTCTCCTTGCCTCCTTGGGCCCCACTCACCTTTCAGCCCAAACATGTATTCTGCACCCTCATGATGCATCCAAACCATACCAGTTGGTATTCTCCTGAGATGGGCAAGTGTGCACTGTCTCTCCCCAACACTGATGACCGGTTAGTTGCCCATAGGTGATGCCAGCGTTGGGGGTTTCAGGGTCTCCATAAGCCCAATTCAGGATAAGAATACTTTCACTTAGGCTCAAGACTGCTGGCCAATTAACAGTCCCATGTACATTGGTCATACCTGTGCTTGAGGAGAGCTCTGTTCTGATGACCTGAGGCCCTGCGGCCAAGCCTCTGGGTGGCTATAGCCTGACTCAAGAACTGTTTGAGTGAAGCATCAGTGCTTGCACATCCTTTCCCTGTTCTGGGCCCAGGCCAAGCTCAAGGGAGTCCATCCCTGGACATCTGATGGGGAGGCTGGGCTGAGGACAGCAGCGTCTTCACTGCTTTCCCCACCCTGAGCTTCTGCCTGGTGTGTATGGCTTTAAATCTCAGGTTCCTCAGTCTCCCCAGGAGATGTGGCACGTGTGGCAGGGGGACGTGTTGCAGGTGTCCCTGGCGGATCAGATCACAGACCGCAAGCCAGACTCCGGGATAGCAAAAGCAGCTGCAGCTCGGTTAGTGTCCCTGTGGTCCATCCTTGGCCTGGGCTCTGTCTGAACAATAGTATTTAGCACGTAGCCTCTCACACACCTTTGACATTACTGTTCATGCTCAACGGGTCTTTGTAGTGGTCCCTTGAGAGCCTGCTGTAGCAGTATTGCATGGGGTGATCTTGTCAGCTGACTCAGGACACTGGGAAGAATGGGGTTTACTTACTCTTCTGCTCTATAGGGCTCTGAGCTCCTTAATGTCTTATACTCTTTCAGGGCACAGGACCCCCCATGCTGTGGGATGCTGGGTATGGACCAAAGCCAAGCCATGGGGAGTGTGCCAGAACTGCTGGAGACACCTTCCTCCCCCTCTGGTAAACCCTAGAGCACATTGTCATTCCATGGGTGGGCCAGGTGACCTCTGACCCTGAAACGATTGGCACTGTTGCTGAAGGGGCTGACTTGCCTGTGCCCAGAGTCTAGCAACAGCTGGCTGTCTCACCTCTGCCTTGCTGAAATTGGGGTGACTCTGAGGCCTGCAGTCTTTCCAGCTATACACCTCCAGGACATGGGGTTTTGCTCCCCAGTGCCAAGCCCTGGTCAGTAGGTACCAGTGAGTCACCAGGTGGGGTGCCTCTGACGACAGTTTATAGTTGCCCTTCTGGCTGTTTTTGTCTCCCATTATATGTATTTGCCATGTCTAGAAGTGTCAGCTGGCTGGGCAGGGCTTCTAAGCAGCCACAGGTATAGGGGTCATGGGGATAGGCAGCCAGTCTGAGGGAGGAACTCAAGGTCACAGGAGCAGTGCTGAGGGGAACTCCTGATCTGAGCCCATGTGAGTGATCCAAGGCCTGGGGACGACCTTCTCCAGGAACCTGCCCTGACCTGAAATTGGACACCTGTTTTTGGTTCTGGCTTTCACATTTGCTGGCTTAAACTGTGTGGCTGGCCTAAACGGAGAGGGCTAACCATTTTTCTTTCCATTCAGAGCCTTCGAGCTTGAGTCCCGGGCTTTCACCCTGGCTTCCTCACTCATGGCAGTTAGCCAGCCCCCAGATGACTGACATTGTTTCCAGTGGGTTGCACCCTGTGGGATCCCTGGCCAGGGACACTGAATCTCCTGGCATGCTGGATGAGGAGCCCAACTTGGTCTTGACATCTGTGCCTGATGCCAGGTGGGTGCTTCTGTCTGTCTGTGGCAGCTGTCACGTGCCTGCCTCCAGCCCAGCCCTAGTCTGTGCCTTTCTCCACTTCTGGAAGCTTCTGGTCCTGACTTCTACCCCACATTGAGAGGCAGCCCAGGGAACAGGCCCAAGTCAGACTCACCATGTGGCTCTCTGATATGTGTTTCTAAAACATTTTTGTGTCCTAATTGTCTTGTTTGGGCTGATGGTGAAATAAATTTGTGTTTGGGGAGCACACACCAGCTGGGGTGTGGGAGGGAGAGGGAGGGATGAGGCCATGGCTGGAGAATCCAGCATGGATCTCCATTCAGCAGAGGCCTATGGCTAGGGCCTGCACCTGTAGCTGTGATTTCTACAATTGGTCCTGGCAGGCTGAGCTTCAGTGGAGTTGGAAGTGCCTTTGTAGGATTGGGATTGGTTTCTGTTGAGTTTCTGTTGCCCAGGTGCACTTGTGGACACTAAGGGATCTTCTCATCTCCAGATACACCCCAGGGGCAGGGTCCGACGTGGTGGATGGAGCACCCTTTCTGCTGACCACCAATCCTGATTGGTGGTTGGGTGAGTGGGGCTGTGAGCCCAGGCTGCCTTTCCCCACACCGGCCCTGGCTCTAGGGCCTGTGTCCAACCTGACAGGACCAGGGAGACTGTGCCAAGGTCCAGATTGCTCTCTGACCCAAGGTCCCCATGTCATTTCCCTCTTCTTGTCTGGTGATGATCAGGATGACTGGCAGGGACAGAGGTAAAGTGTGACTGCATGGGCACATGTGGAAACCCTGGATGTTTTTAGTCATGTCCCTAGATCAGCGCCACTGGGCCACCAGGACATGTGTAGACAAGGCATGTGTTTAATGTCTTCACTGCCTTTAGGGTCCAGTGCTGAGGGAACATTGCTGTGGTTCTGCCATGGGTAGATCTCCTAAGCCATGAGAGTAGGGTCACCAGGGTTGGGCTCGTCCCCCTTCACTGGGAGGAGACAGGTTCACATTCCCACATAGGGCAAAGGGCTTGCAGAATGGACAAGGTAGTAGAGGCATGGAAGCCCCTATGCTATGGCCAGCCTGCTGCTAGTGTCTGGGGTCCATGCCTACCATACTGATGTTCCTTTTTCTTTCAGGGTCAGTGGAGGGCAGAGAAGGCCCAGTCCTAGCCACAAGCAGCCCTATGGATGGGGCAGAACCAAGCTTCATGGGGGACCCTGAGCCCAGCTCCCAGGAGCTCCACGCTGGCCCCCTGGAGCTGTGGGGCTTGGATTTTGGCAGCCCTGGCCTGGCCTTGAAGGATGAAGCAGACAGCATCTTCCCTGACTTTTTCCCCTGCTAGTTTAGTTATGTTAGTTTGGTGGGGGAACAGGGCAGCATGGAGCACGTGGATAGCCTGTGCCCGTGTCCCTTGCCTGGGTGTTGTATTTTGGGCTTGTTTTGCAGCTGTGGTCTAATTTGAGGGAGGCTGGGAGGACTTAGTGGAATTTGTATTAAAGAGGAAAGTGGTTTTCCTGGCAGAAGCAAAATTTCTCTGGCTTTTGAGTAATTAATCCAATTCACTGGGCATATTGCCCCAACTCCATTCAGAGCACAGGCAGCTGCCTGGATCCTTTCTGAAAGATTCTCAGCTTGGTGGGATCCCTAAATAACCTAGCTCTGTGCCTTGTTCCAGAGCGGTGCTAGAGACTGGGTGCCACCCTCCTCCCCCTCTTCCGCTTCCTCCTCCTCTTCTTCCTCCGCCTCCTCCCCCTCCTCATCAGGTGTTTGGATTGGGTGGGGCCTTTCAGGGGACCCTGGTGTCTTTTCTCCCAGTGTTGCACCATGTCCTGAGGGAAGAGCTTGCTCCCCCTTTACTGCCAGTCACCTCTGAACTTTGCTGTACATGGGCTCTTGGGGACCCTGAGTGTGTGCCCACACTCTCCACACTGGGCTGCTGTGGGCAGACTGAAGATTGGCACTGGTCTTTTGTTCCAGGAAGCCTGGGGTCTTGTCCTGCTGTCTGCATCTGGAGGCATCCCCAGGTCTCTGGGGCTCCCTCCCCCTTATCAGTCCCTGTTGTGGGGTCAGAGCAGCGCAGCAGCTCGATTCTTCCAAGAACCTTGAGTGTGAGATCAGAGCTCCCACCAGCCTGCTCCCACAGTCAGTGGAATGTTCCATTCATTCCCATGAGTCACTGCAGACAAAAGCCCAGGAGCAGTTGGCGTGGGATGAAGCACTTGGGGGCTGTGAGCGCTGAGATCATCACACATCCCAGGAGCTGAGAGGGGCACGTGGTGGTCCAGGAGAGCCTGGGTGGGTGCTTGGTTATAGCTATCAACTGCCACCCTCAGTACCTCACCGACTCCTATGATTTACAGGGTAAAGACCTTGGTCAGTAGTAGAGTGGCTTCCAGGTTCCTGACTGCCAGTGTGCCAAAACCATATCACATCTCTCAAGCACAGGGGTAGTGGACTCACTTTGGTTGTCTGCTGTTTGAGTTTTTCGGTCAACTTCAATTGTCTGAATTCACATGTCTTCTGGAAGACTACATACTGTACATGTGCATCTCCAGGGGTGTGCTTGTGTGTATACCATGTATGCTAAGGCAGACAGGCATGTGTGTTTGTGTGCCCATATAGGTGTGTATGCATTTGTGTCTGTGGCATTTGTGTATTTGTGTGCCCATGAATGTTGATGTGTGTGTGTGTGTGTGTGTGTGTGTGTGTGTATTTATGTTAGGGTATGCTTATGCCCATGTATTGGGCATAATGTGTGCACATCACAGCCATGGGAGGGTGAACATTGAAGATCTTTGGAGGTATAGTACCCGTCCCTGCCCTGCTGTGTAACTGCTCCCCTGTCCTTGGACATGGCCACAAGCTTGTGGCTTGAGGCTGAGCCAGGGTCCTGGCCTGCTGCTCTTTCTGGTTTTGTCAGCCTCAAGGCAGGTCATGGAAGAATTAGACGCCTGGGTCCTACTCACCCCTCCCAGCAGATAGTCTGTACATGTTCAATCATCTTTGTAGCCAACCCCTCTCGGACCTCTTAAACCTCAGGTGCCACTGGTCAGGTATGTGGCCTTACCTATGGCACCTAAGAGGGAGAGGCAGGGAGCCTGGCTTGGCTTGTTCAGAGTCGTGCTAAACCCTAGGGGATGGAAGAAATTCCCACAGTACATGAGGGGTAGACCCCTTGCAGGATGCTGGTGATCTCTTCGTCCTGGACTAGTGCTAAGAACAAACCTGAGGCCCAGCCTGGCTTGTGGGCAGGAGCAGTAACAGACCTCATCAGGTGGTGGGAAACCACAGCCCCCAGAGACCTGGGACTGAGGGCAGTCTTCGTGCAGTAGTACTCCAAGAGAGTTGGGGACCTTAGACCCCACCCTACATAGGAGCATAGGAAAAGGGCTGTCTGGCTCGGGGGCCTGACCATGATGTCTACTCCTGTAAGGCTGTGGGAACAGGTGTGGCTCTTTGTGCAGCCACGCCTCACCTCTTCCTTTCCTTCCTTCCTTCTTTCCTTCCTTCCTTCCTTCTTTCTTTTTGTCTTTCCTTTCTTCCTTCTTTTTCTTTTTTCCTCTTTCTTTCTTTCTTTCTTTCTTTCTTTCTTTCTTTCTTTCTTTTTTCTTTCTTTCTTTCCCAAATTATTGGTCTGACTGCCTGAGATTGCAGTAGGTCCTCATCCGGCTGGGTTTGGGCGGCTGTGAACAGCCACTGCAGATACTCTTGCTGGTGGTTCTGGGCCTCAGTCCATGTGGGCTTCCCCAATACTGCTCCATTTCTCCCTGCAGAACCCTAGAATCTCCTACTCATGGACCTGGCCATGCTCCCTGAGAATTGGCACCCCCCCCACTCTGCAATGACCACCCAGCCTGGGAAAAGGGCCCACTGGCCTGAAAGCTGGATTCAGGGCTGTTAACAGCCCAGTTTCATCCCTACCACTATCATCTCCTGGTGCCCTGCAATCACACTCCCCCAAAGCTTGGGGACACGGTGTCTGGTGGCATGAAGGGCACACAGCAATGCTGCCTACTCTGAGTTTTCCTCAGGGTGGGAATCCCAGTGGGGTGGGTAGGGGGCCAGCACTAGAATCATACTTCACAGGGGAGCCAGGTGTCACCAGCAGGTGCTGTTATGATCACCCTTCAGACCCTGCATGAGATTATTTCAGACTGTTGGAACCCCTAAAACTCAGGCTGTGGTTTGAACAGCAGATCCTATGTCTGTCTTCAGCCTGTTTGGGGAACTTATTTGTGCCTAGAGACCCCATGACAGAGAGGAGGGACTGGCACTTGTCTGTTCATGGGCCTCAAAACCTTTGAAGGGAGCCTGTGTGCTTTGTGTCAGGTGAAAGGAGCTGGGTCATGTGGCAGCCCTCAGAGGATCAGGGGCCCTTCTGCAGGGCCTTGGCAGTCATGGGCTTCAAGGATGGTTGTGGGAAGGGGCTTTAAGGCAGAAGTGTGTCTAGTCCCACTCCCTACCTCTCCAGCAACTCCACACAGTTCTGTGAAACTATACACCCTGCTTTTGTGAGGCCCATGCCCCCCTTGTGCAGACATGCTGAGTTCATATCTGGAGCTCAAGAGGGGTGGAGGTAAGACTCAGGTTTGCCTATGTTCCTTACACAATTGGGAGATCCTCACAGGAACAGACATTGAACCTTTTGGAAGCTCAGGGCGTGTCCTTTGGCAGAGTAAGTGTATAAAAATGTGTGAGCATTGTGAGGTAAGTGGAGACATGTGTATGTGTCGTGGGGCACACTGTGGATGTATACGTGTGTGTGTGTGTGTGTGTGTGTGTGTGTGTGTGTGTGTGCATTCTGAGCCGTGTTTTCCCTTCATGTAGGTACTCTTCTCTTGGATCTGTTTGCTGATCTCCCCACAGCCTTTAGCCAGCCAGATGGGTTCCTGGGGTTGCTTGAAAAATGGTCTATGGGCTTGTGGCATACACAGCACTTTTCAGGGGGCTCAAGTGAGACACCTGGCTTAAGGATGGTCAATGGTCACAGAGACTCGGAATAACACCCCTGGCTGCAGTGTGGTTTCTAGGGTGGTAGCTCCTTAGGTTCTTTCTGATTTTTACGGATGTGGTAGTCAGGTGATATGGCCAGCCATCAGGAAATCAGTGGTTGTGCCTCTTTTGAAGCCTTTGCCTTGATGGGCTGGGCTCTCCACATCCCTGCCTGTGGCCCTGTATTCTCCTGGCGCTTTTCCTGATATGTGGTCCTGGTTTAGCTCTCTCAGCCAATAGAGGTATCTCTAAATGTGGACAGTGACAGTGATGCCCTGGAACCCAGGTGGCCTTCCTTCTCCTTCCAGACTCTTGGGTCAGGGTCTGGAGGATGATGATGTAGTCTGAGGGGAGGCAGGGGGTGGTACTTTATCCTGAAGGATGCGGCAGACCCTGAGCTTTCCGTGGTCACCTCATCAGCAACTCTGGCAAGTGCTGCACTGCAAAAGGTCCCTCCCTCAGTATGGCTGCCACCACCCACCATGGATGACAGCAATTAGCACCCTGGCACCTACCTAGAGAAGTTTCTGCACCTCCAGTTCCCAAGAACAAAATTTAACAGCTGCCAGGGTGGACAGTCTGTCTACCCTAACTAGCCAGCTAGCATCTTGTAGCTGCAGCAGAAAATGGCACTGCCAGTCCTGTCCTGGGAGGCCCAGTATGTGTGTGGGCCTTTGTGCTTGGCCACCTATGTAGGGTTTGCTTCACTTCATCTACCCCATGCTTTGTGGAAATCACGGGGCAGGAGACAGGGTATCAGGATACAGGAGCTTTCAGGATGGCAAACTTGGTTCTGTCACAGTTACAGAGTGCCTGGCCATAGCAGGTGGTCAGCTAGGCGGTTCCTACTCCCAAGGCAGGAGTACCCACTCCCGAGGCAGGTGGTCAGTCAGGAGTACCCGCTGCCGAGGCAGGTGGTCAGCTATGGCCACCAACACCTGAGGCAGGTGATCAGCTGGGGTCCAGTCCATATTCTCACTAGCTCATACTCAAGGCATTGCAGTCTTCCCTCAAAGCTCTGGTCCCCAGGCTCCAATCTGAGCTCTTCCTGGCAAGACCTCAGCTCATGCCACCCTGCACCACTGTAATCAGAAGCAGGAGTGTTAACCTCACGCTACCTGTGAGGCTGTCTTCTAGACTGACTTGGGCCTGCAGGGGGCTCTTGTTTTATTCTGAATAACTCCAGGAGAGGAGGGAGAGAGAGAGAGAGAGAGAGAGAGAGAGAGAGAGAGAGAGAGAGAGAGGAGAGAGGCAACTAGTCAACTGAGAGAGCCATGTGTGAGCTGCAGCTGAGCCCCAGCAGCCTGCTGATGAGTCACACTCACTCACATTGCCTCTGCTACACAAAGG